GAAAAGAAAATAGACAATGATAAGCATTTAGGTGATATGTGGTTATTTTATGGATGTAGGGATAAAGAAAAAGACTTTTTGTACCGTAAAGAATTAGAAGGGTTTGTAGAACGAGGGGTTTTAAAAGAACTATTTATTGCTGTTAGTCGAGCACCTGGTGCTGGCTTAGATGGAAAACCAAAATATGTTCAAGATCTTATGAGGATTCAAAGTCAAAATATATTTGAATTAATAACAAAAAATGATGCTATGATTTTTGTGTGTGGGTAAGTTCCAGGTTACTATTTTATGTATCCACCATTGCTTTATATTCGGAATATTAATTGGTTATCCTACAGTGATGCCAAAGGTATGTCAAAGGGTGTAAACGATGCTTTGGCTGATATTCTCGTAGAACATGGTCATATGCAACAATCAGATGCATTAGATTTATTAAAGAAATGGATACAGGAAAAACGATATTTACGTGACTTGGTAAGTTAAAGGAATAGTGAAACATTCAGTTGCATTGTTTATAAATTCTAAATTATAATTCATATTTATTTTATTCAGTGGGGTTAAACAAGATTAAACCATTACTACTTTTTATTTTTTAATAAATTAATTACTCAAATTATAATTTATAGAAAATATAAAATAAATGTGGCGGCTTATGCTGAGAATTTATTATAAAAAATTATAAAATTTTTGTGGGACTTTTTTTGTAGCCTTTTTTTCACAGTTAGGTTAGGGCTTAGGGTTAGTATTATTAATAAAAGAGTATATGTGGATTTTAGTAGATATTATAGATTTAATTAGAGACCCTGAATCTCAGTATAAGCTGCCACAATAAATAAGTTTAACTATCTGTTATATAAACTAATGACTTCAATCTTAATGGTTTGTACAAAAAGATGTTAAAGATCATACTTTTTATACGCCGTTCTTAAAGATAAGAGTTATGAGCTAGATTATATCTTATAGCTACGAAATAAAGCATCTTTAAAAATAGATACCTGATTTTAAAATATCTAAAAATAACACACACCTTATAAAGTAAATAGAATTTAAAGTAATCATATGTCATGCGTGATAATTGATACGTACGTACGTACGTGCCTGCTTGGAGTTACAGCTTCAAATGCATTATCCTCCGAAATTACGTTTTACATATTAGTAATTTTAGGCGTATGCAGATGCTAACTTCACGTTTTCGAAATTTTTGATATGGTTGTTTCAGATTACACTAGAGGCCTGCAATTATCAATTGTTGTGGCCCGGCCCGGTCCACTTTTAATTTTTTAAAAATTTTTCGTCGGCCCGGCCCAGTTCGCGATATGATGATGCAAGTGTTGAGCATTTCTAGATTTCTTGCATTGAAATTCATGTGCAAGGTTTGAAGAATCTTTTGGAGGTATTGTAATATTAAAGTTATGTTTCATGTTAATATATAGATTGTATAAATTTTTTTAAATTATTAAGTAAAGGTATATGATGAAAGAAGTGTTTCTTTGTATATAATATGCTCAATAGTTTAAGATTCTGAGTAGCTTTGTGTAATAATGTTTTGTTTAGAATATGCTTAAATGCAGCTATAATAATATGAGAAATTCTATTTTGACCCGGGTCAAAATGACCCTCAGCAAAATTTTAGGGTTAGTGCGGGCTAGAATTATGTTGACCAATCAAAATTTAAGACCAGGCATCAAAACAAGCATGTTTTGTTTTCTAACAGCTAAGTAAAAAAAGTTACGTGTAAAATGAAAACCAAGAAAACTGTTAGGAATAGAACCATGTAACGCCTATTAGTAAAACATCACGAGGAACAGAGTTATTCTTGTGTTTTTTGTAAAAAAAAATGGGTTGCTTCTATTTTTACATTTCACCTGATCCTGAAATTCGATTGGTCAAAATTATAGGGGGTGACCATCTCGAATTTTACATAAAACAGTCGGATTTTACTAGCAGTTTCACCTGTCGTAATTTTTCTATAAACGAAGGTCAATAAACTTTCAAATTGCAAACTAAATATCTTTTTTTGAAGGAGTTAAGTTGCTCTGAAGACA